AAATTCACCCATTCCAGTCCATTTTAGTTCACTGATTCCTAGAATGTCAATGTTCACACTTGCCATCTCCTGTTTGACCATTTCCAATTTGCCTTGATTCATGGACCTAACATTCCAGGTTCCTATGCAATATTGCTCTTTACAACATCAGACCTTGCTTCTACCACCAGTCACATCCACAACTGGGTGTTGTTTTTTCTTTGGCTCCATCCCTTCCTTCTTTCTGGAGTTATTTCTCCACTGATCTCCAGTAGCATATTGGGCACCTACCGACCTGGGGAGTTCCTCTTTCAGTATCCTATCATTTTGCCTTTTCATACTATTCATGGGGTTCTCAAGGCAAGAACACTGAAGTGGTTTGCCATTCCCTTCTCCAGTGGACCACATTCTGTCAGACCTCTCCACCATGACCCGTCCATCTTGGGTGGCCCCACACAGCATGGCTTAGTTTCATTGAGTTAGACAAAGCTGTGGTCCTGTGATCAGATTGGCTAGTTTTCTGTGATCATGGTTTCAATGTGTCTGCCCTCTGATGCCCTCTCGCAACACCTACCGTCTTACTTGGGTTTCTCTTACCTCGGACTTGGGGTATCTCTTCACAGCTGCTCCAGCAAAGCGCAGCCACTGCTCCTTACCTTGGATGAGGGGTATCTCGTCACAGCCACCCCTTCTGACCTTGAACGTGGAGTAGCTCCTCTTGGCCCTCCTGCGCCCACAGGCCGCCACTCCTTGGACGTGGGGTTGCTCCTCTCGGCCACCGCCCCTGACCTCGGACGTGGGGTAGCTCCTCTCAGCCACTCCTGCACCATCGCAGCCTGTTGCTCTCGGTCGCCACCCCTGACCTCGGACGTGGGGTAGCTCCTCTAGCCACACCTCTGCACGGTCCGTCGCAGCTTCTGACGTAGACGTCAGAAGGGGGCAGAAAGAGTGCCCCCGTGCTAGCCTTCAGCAGTGTGTTATACTGCTACCAGCAGGCTGCTAATTAGAGAAAGGAGATGCCTCAAAACTCAGCATGGCACCAGGCCCCTTACCCACAACATGCATTTTGAGATAACACTGGCACAAGGTGAGTTGTCCCAGGCCAAATAACAACTGACATGAATCTTGAAGAGAGGCAGGATTCCAAGCAAAGACATAGTCTCCTTAACATAACTTAAGAGAACATTTGCATGAGTAAAACACACTGGTTTGTCAAGTGGGTTCTGAGTCTTAGGCAGAACCAACTTGAAGAAAGACAGTCTAGGGTAAATACATAGTTCATTAACATAGCTTAAGAAAAGCATTTCCATAAGAAAAATGAATTGGTTAGCTTCAGGTTTGAGAAAAGTTAAGTTCAGGTGGAACCAGATGTAGTCACGGCGACACAGAATTTTAAAAGAAGACTTCTTTTAAATTTGTATAGAGAAGGAAAAAAATCTGACACTTGTAGTTTGCTTCCTCCTGCCATTTAAGAGAGATAAAAAATGTCTGCCACTTGGAGCCTATTTCCTCCATTTGGAGACCCCTAGTCTTCCTGCCTGTTACCCTCTCACTCCCATTTTGGTTTCAGCAAAGCTGAGCTCAGCATACACTGAAGTCTCTCTGTTACTGCAGTAGCCTGAATAAAATGTTTGGCCACTTTAAAAAATAAAAAGTATACTTGTATGTATAGTTGAATCAGTTTGCTGTACACCAGAAATTAACACTATAAATCAACTATACTTCAACAATTTAAAAAAGGAATATATGTAAATTTTAAAGTAGATTATAATTACTGCAAGTGAAAGTTGCTCAGTCGTGTCTTACTCTTTGCGACTCCTTAGACTATATAGTCCATAAATTCTCCAGGCCAGAATACTGGAGAGGGTACCCTTTCCCTTCTCCAGGGGATCTGCCCAACCCATGGATCAAACCCAGGTCTCCCACATTGCAGACAGAGTCTTTACCAGCTGAGTCACAAGGGAAGCCCTAGGTCAAGGGAAACAACTGTCTATTATGCAACTGATAGAGCCCAAATGGGGTCTTATTGATAACATGGTTAGTTATGTTGACTTCACAAACGAAGATAAAATCACAGTGATCTGTAAGACTGGCCAAATTGCCCAAATGGCATCCTGTTATATCACTGGCGCCTATCTTCTCAGAGCTGTGAAACCACCAGATTCCAGAGCTCAAGCTACATGACCATCCCTTCAGAGTTCATTGGTGTGGTATAAGAAGGACTCCATCAGAAAGGGAGGACACTGGTTCTCCTTAAGGGCCAATCACCCTCTCTTTCCCCTCTAATAAATTTCTCTTTTCTTGCCTGACTACCTGGCTTGCTCTCTTTTTCTCTGCAATCACCTTACAGCAACAAAATCCAGAATTCATTTAAAAAATTAAGTTAATTGAACTACAAACAAAAGGCATGGTAACCAGCAAATGACGGTGGGAGAACAGGGTAAGGGGATATTCATCACTCAAAATATAGGAACAAGTGATTATTTCTTTAGTACATGAATAATTTCTATAGTAAAGAAGAAAATTTGAATAGTCCAAAAGGCAAGCCAGGAAAAGGTATAAGATGACAATTCACCCAAAGAGGAACTATGGTGAGTCTAAACAAGAAATTAAAAAAGTAAAATCAAAATAAGATACCAATGGCACAAATCAAACACTTTAATGACATTCTGGGGTAGGCTGTGACAAAAAAAAAAGAACTGCATACACTGCTTATGAGGGTGTAAATTGATACAACTTCTATGAGCGAGTGAGTGAAGCCACTCAGTGGTGTCCAACTCTCTGCGACCCCATGGACCGTAGCCTGCCAGGCTCCTCCATCCACAGGATTTCCCAGGCAAGGATACTGGAGTGGGTTGCCATTTCCTTCTCCAGGGAATCTTCCCCACCCAGGGATCAAACCCACGTCTCCTGTGTCTCCTGCTTTGCAAGCAGATTCTTTACCCATTGGGAAAGTTCAGCTTCTATGGATTTTATCAATAACTGAGAAATTTTAAATGGGATATCCTTTGGTCCAGTAAATCCCCTTCTACAAAATCATCTCACAAATGCATTTCTTATGCTTTAAGAAAAAGACGTTTGTTCACTTAGCACTGTTCGTATCAGCAAAACATTCTAAACAACCTACAGATCTATCAATAGCATTATAGCTAATTTATGTTCCAGCCATACAAAATGGAAAACTATAAAACAATTCCAAAGAATAAGATAAATCTACATACAGTCACATGTTAAGATCCTTTGACGTATTTGGTGAAAAATGTAATCTGCATACACATTTTATTTTTCTTTTTTTTTCTTTTTCACTCAGTCCTGTCTGATTCTTTGCCACCCCATGGACTATACAGTCCATAGAATTCCCCAGGCCAGAATACTGGAGTAGATAGCCTTTCCCTTCTTCAGGGGGTCTTCCCAACCCAGGGATAGAACCCAGGTCTCGCATACAGATAGTGCAATAATATTTATGAAAATGGACTTCCTTAGTGGCTCAGACGGTAAAAGCATCTGCCTACAATGCGGGAGACCTGGGTTTCGATCCCTAGGATGGAAAGATTCCCTGGAGAAGGAAATAGCAACCCACTCCAGTATTCTTGCCTGGAGAATTCCATGGACAGAGGAGCCTGGTAGGCTACAGTCCATGGGGTCGCAAAGAGTCGGACACAACTGAGTGACTTCACTTTCACTTTCATTTATGAAAATGATATATTTACATATATCTGGATATGCTTTCAAATGCAAAGAAAATGGTTGTTAAGGATAAACTCCCACTTTTTAACACTTCCATTGAGAAGAGGAACATGATAGAAGGAAGTTTCAGGACTGGGTTTGGGTTCTTCTAGTCCCACTTTTTATTTTATGCATCTACTTGTAACTTTTTACCAGAAGAACATTATGCCTGTAAAGAATAAAAATAACTAAATGAGCTGTACCAGGCTCACCAAAGCCCTACCCGAGAAACATGTTTCTGGATGATCCCCTCAAAGGTAAAATCTGCCACTTAGAACAACACAGGGAAAATCTGTGCCTTAAGTGTGCGAGTATGTGTGTGAGTGAGTGTGTGTGTGAGTATGTGTGTCCCTGAACAAGTCATATTCTCCCAGTCAATTCTGAGTCATGTAAACACTCATTTCATTTGCCTTTAAGAAGTGTGTCTTGTATTAACTAAATCCTGAGAGGACAGGCACCAGGGACAAATTTGGGGCTAGTTAGAGCATGGCATTTGGTCCCATCACTACATGGCAAATAGATGGGGAAACAATGGAAACAGTGAGAGACTTTATTTTGGGGGGTTCCAAAATCACTGCAGATGATGACTGCAGCCATGACACTTGCTCCTTGGAAGGAAAGCTATGACCAACCTAGATAGCATATTAAAAAGCAGAGACATTACTTTGCCAACAAAAGTCCGTCTAGTCAAAGCTATGGTTTTTCCAGTAGTCATGTATGGATGTGAGAGTTGGACTATAAAGAAAGCTGAGTGCCAAAGAATCGAGGCTTTTGAACTGTGGTGTTGGAGAAGACTCTTGAGAGTCCCTTGGACTGCAAGGAGATCTAACCAGTCCATCTTAAAGGAAATCAGTCCTGAATATCCATTGGACGGACTGATGCTGAAGCTGAACTCCAATAATTTGGCCACCTGATGTGAAGAGCTGACTCATTTGATTCTGGGAAAGACTGAAGGCAGGAGGAGAAGGGGATGACAGAGGATGAGATGGCTGGATGGCATCACCGATTCAATGGACATGAGTTTGAGTGATCTCCGGGAGTTGGTAACGGACAGGGAGGCCTGGTGTGCCGCAATCCATGGGGTCGCACAGAGTCGGACGCGACTGAGCGACTGAACTGACCTCAACTGAACCACGTGACTGCCAACGAAGCTCCAGCATTGGCGGCGCGAGCAGCCCGGGGTCAAACAGACGCACCTAGAACTTCAGGAAACTGTTGGTGGGTGGAGAGGGGGCTCCGTCCGGCAGCTCCTTTCTGATCTGCCGTGCTGAGGATGTGGGCTTTCCTTCCTGGAAATGAGCCTTAATCCCTCGAAGGTTGCGCCGGAGCCAGAGCCGGAGCGGGAGGCGGGACAAGAACCTGGGTCCGAGGCCCACGGGCCGGGGCCGGAGAGAGAGAGCGGGCCACCAGCAGGGCCGGGCCCGGAGCCGGAGCCGCCCTCGGCGGCGGGTCAGGACTGGGAGCCCGAGCGCGACCGGGCAGAGGGGCCGAGCGCACAGCCCCCTCCGTGGCCCGAGGCTCCGCCGCCCCTGCCGGCCTCGAAGTCTGAGAACCTTCGGGCCCCGCGGCCCAGCTGCCACACCAACTGCCTGGAGGCACGGCTGTCGCGGGTCTTCCGACGGCTGGGCAGGAAGGTGGGCGCACACCCCTGGATCTTTCTGCTGTTGCCCGTGGCGCTAACGGCCGTCCTGGGCACCGGCCTGATGTACCTGCCCCGGGATGGAGAAGAAGACCTGGAGGAGAAGTACACCCCGATCGGGAGCCCCGCCAAGGCAGAACGGCGCTTCATGCAGGGACATTTCACCGCCAATGACTTTCTCGTCTTCTCCATCTCCAGGAAGAGCGCCGAGGTCCCTTATGCCTCTGTCCTCGTGGTCTCCAATGCCGAGACCCTGCTGGAGCCGGACATCCTAGAGGAAATCAGCAAGGTGGACGACACGGTGCAGGCTCTGACTGTGACCCAGGACAACGGAACCCAGATCCCCTACAGCGAGGTGTGCGCTAAGAACCAGGGCTCCTGTGTCCCCTCCACCCACTCTTGTTCGCCTGGAAAAGGAACAAGGGCCTCAACCTGAGAACCATCACCTTCCCCATCTACAGCCTAGCCGGTCAGATCGTCTCCCTGGCCAACACCCTGGGAGGAACTGTCTTGGGCGAGAGGATGGGGCCGAGCCAGGTTCTCCTCCGGGCCAGAGCCATGAGGCTGCAGTACCACCTGGAGGCAGGCGGAGCAGAGGAGCGCGAGCGGAGCAAGGCCTGGATGATCCACTTCCTGACGCAGGCGAGCAGCCTGGAGGAGAGCCTGGCCTTGAAGAAGATCCAGGTACCTAGTGGCGGAGTTTATGGGAGGCCAGGAGAAGGTGGGAGGGATAAGAGGACGTGTTCCAAGGACCAGAGCAGCAGCACCCCCAGATTATCAGAGTCCTTGCCTGGAAGCCAGAAGTGCTCTGCTTTATTTGGTCCTTAATCCAACTTTCTTACAGTAGCACACTGAAGAAAGCCACAGTAGATCCTAAGAAAGAGTGGGTGTGTGTATAACTGATTCACTTTGCTGTGCACTTGAAGCTAACACAACATTGTGAAGCAACTATACTACAATAAAGTTTTTAATAAAGTAAAAAGAGGACTTTAAAAAAAAAAAGGAGAATTCCGCAAATCTTAAATCCTTGGTAACATTGGTTAAAAACACAAATGGTCCATTCTCAGGGTAGGTCTGTTCAGTACAGACGTTGATCTTCAGGTTTAGTTTGGTTTATCTGGTCAAATTACTCTGTAATTCTTACTTTCAGTTTAAGCCTTTGCTGTTTCTGGGAGCCCCCTAAACTTTGGAGTTCATTGGAATAAAACAGCAAAACTTTAAACAAAAGTTCCATGATGTTTTTGAGAAAGATGAGCATTTTAAAAGTAAATTATAGCATAGTGCCAGGCACATATTAGCTGCTCAGTAATTTTGGGACTGGCAAACCTAATACTCTGAATGAAACTGGTGAAAATGAGAAGATATCTTCTGAGAAAAGTCTTTTAATACCCAGGCCTGTCTGAAATGATGTTTGTACAATTAAAATAGTAAAAGACAATGACTGAATAGAAGTTTAGAAAAAGTTATAAGTCTATAGTTATTAATGCTTTCACAGTTTTATATAAGATTCAGATTTTGTGTATTCAGAAGTCTTAAACTTTAGATTTTTTGAAAGAAACTTTGAAAAGCATGCCAGAGATTTGTGGGAAGAAGCAAATCTTTATTATCTTCTTTATTCTAAAATCATAATCCATATATTTTGACTTTTCACTGAATTTTAATGTTTAAATTATTAAGTTGCAGTGTTTCAGTATCATATGTAACTCACACACAATATCAGAATTGAAAGTCATTTACCTGAATATGTTTTTGTGGCAGGTTGTCTACTTTTCATCGCTTTCTAGACAACTGGAATTTGAGGCAACTTCTATGACAGTGATCCCCTTGTTTCACTTGGCCTACCTTCTAATCATATTATTTGCAATTGTATCATGCTACAGGTAAAACAATTTTAATAGTTTTTTAAACTCTAAAAAATATTTTATTGTAGTAATGTATATAATGTGTATATAACATTTATAACATAAAATGTGTCATTTCAAAAATCATTTTTAAGTGTACAGATCAGTGGCATTAATTACATTATAAGTGTTGCACAACCATCACAACTATCCCTTTATGAATGTTTTCCATCACCCCAAACAAACACTGTAACCATTAAGTAATAACTCCCCACTCTCTCCCCCAAGTCTTGGCTAATTTTTAATCTAGTTTCTATTTCCATGAATTTGCCTATTCTAGAGATTTCATATAAGTGGAATCATACAGTATTTGTCCTTTTGTGATTGACTTATTTCACTTATCATAATGTTTTCAACATTTATCCATGTTGTAGCATTAGTTCCTTTACATGGCTGAATAATATTCCATTTTATGTATGTACCACATTTTTTTATCTACCTATCTGTTGATGGGCACTTGAAATATTTTTACCTTTGGACTATAGTGAATAATGCTGCAGTGAAACCTGATGTCCAAATCTCTGTTTAAGCTCCTGTTTGCAGTTCTTTTCAGTATATACCTAGGAGTGGAATTAGTGGGTTGTATGATAATTCACTGGTTAGCTTTTTGAAGAACCACCAAACTATTTTTCACAGAGACTACACCATTTTGTATCCCACCAGCAATGTGTAAGTTTTCCAATTTCTCTACATTCTAACCATGATTATCTTTTTTATGTGGTTATTGGTTATTTGTATATCTTCTTTGGAGCTCCCCAGGTGGCGCAGTGGTAAAGAATCTGCCTGCTGGTGCAGGAAATGCGAGACACTTGGTTTCAATCCCTGTGTTGGGAAGATGCACTGGAGAAGGAAATGGTAACCCACTCTGGTATTCTTGCCTGGAAAATTTCATGAACAGAAGAGCCTGGTGGCTAGGGGTCACAAGGAGTCAAACAACTGAGCTACAGAGCACACACGCATATCCTTTATGGAGAAATGTCTATTCAAGTCCTTTGCCCATTTTTCGGCTGCACCCCAAGGCTTGAAGAATCTTATTTCCCCCACTAGGGGTTGAACTTGGGCCCAGGCCCTTAGCAGTGAAAGTTTGGAGTTCTGACCACTGGACTGCCAGGGAATTCCCACCTTTGTCCATTTTTAGTGAAGCTGTTTGTCCTTTTGTTGTTGAATTCTGTTGTTGTTGAGTATATGTTTTGGATATTAAATCCTTATCAAGTTATGTAATTTGCAAATATTTTCTCTCATTCTGTAGATTATCTCTTTACTTTCTTGATAATGTGCATTAATGTACAAAGGTTTTAATTTAGATGAAATTCAACTTATTTATTTTTATTGTTTCTACTTGTGCTTTTGGTGTTACATCTAAAGCTTCCATTGACAAGTAAGGTCGTATGCAATTGCTCTGTTTCCTTCAAGAGTTTTATGGTTTTAGCTGCAATATAGGTGGTTACAATTTTTAATCACAGTTGTATATGATGTGAAGTAGGGGTCCAACTTCATTCTTGTACATGTGGAAATCCAGTCATCCCAGTGCCTTTTGTTGAAAAGACTGCTCTTTCCCAGTTGATTGGATTTGGCATCCTTGTCAAAAATCAATAGGCTGTAGATATATGGATTTATTTCTAGATGCTCAGTTCTACTCCATCGGTCTATATGTCTGTCCATATACTAGTACCACTCTGATTTAAATACTGTAGCTATGTTATAAGTTTTGAAATCTGGAAATTTCAGTCGTCCATTTGTTTTTTCTTTTTAAGGTTATTCTGGAATATCCAGGGCTCCTTGTAATTCCATATGGATCTGAGTATTGACCTATACATTTCTGAATAAAAGCTATTGGAATTTTGATAGAGATTGTGTTTAATGTGTAGATCGCCTTAGGCGAAATTGTCATTTTGACAATATTAAGTCTTCCTCCCCATGGACTGTGAAAGTCTTTCCATTAATTTAGGTCTTTTTTAGTTTCTTTCACCAGTGTTTTGTAGTTTTCCATGTACCAGTCTTTCACTTCTTTGGTTAAATGTATTCCTAAGTATTTCATTATTTTAAACACTAAATGAAATCACTTTCTTAATTTCTTTTTGGGATTGTTCATTGCACATGGATAGAAACAACTGAATCCTGTGTGTTGATCTTGTATCTTGCAGCTTTACTGAATTTGTTTACTAACTTTAGTAGCTTCCTTTGGATTCATTGGAGTTTTCATATGTACGATCATATAATCTGTGAAAACAGAGTTAAAATTCTTCCTTTACAGTTTGAATTCCTTTAATTTCAAAGTCCTGTCTAATTGCTCTGATTAGCACTTCTAGTACATCTTTGAATATCACTGATGAAAGTGGGCATCCTTATCTTGTTCCTGATCTTAGAGGGAAAGCTTTCTTTTTTTCACCATTGAGTTTAACGGTAGTTGTGCAGTTTTCATAATTGCCTTTATAATTTTGAGGAACTTTCCTTCCATTCCTTGTTTTTGAGAGTTTTTATCATGAAAAGACATTGGGTTTTGTCAAGTGCCTTTTCTGTAACTTTTGAGAGATTCATATGGTTTTTTATCCTTTGTTCTGTTAGTGTGCTGTATTACATTGATTGATGCTCTCATGTTGAACCACTCTTTCATTCCTGGGGTAAATCCCATATGGTCATGATGTATACTTCTTTTAATATGCTTATTGAATTGTGTTTGCTAGAATTTTGTTGAGGATTTTTGTATCTATATTGATAAGAGGTCTTATTTGTATCTTCCTTGTGGTATCTTAGTCTGACATTGATAGCAGTGTAATCATGGCCTCATCAAAAGAGTTAGGAAGTGTTCCCTTCCTTTAAGTTTTTTTGGAAGGGTTTGAAAAGGATTGGTGTTAATTCTTCTTTACATATTTGATAAAATTCACCAGTGAAGCCATCAAGTCTGGACTTTATTTTGAAGGTGAGGGGAGGTTTTTGACTGTGGAACAGTCCTTTTACATGTTCTGTTGAGAGTTTCATCTTGAGTCAGTTTAGGTCTTTGTGTTTTTCTAGGAATTTGTGTATTTTATCTAGGTTATCCAGTTTTTTGGCATAGGTTGCTTATAGTAATGTCTTAAATCCTTTTTATTTCTGTAAATTCAGTAGTGAAGTCCCCATTTTCATGTCCCATTTAGTTATTTGTTTTTTTTCCCCTTTATCAACTCTAGATAAATGTAACCCAAATTTTGTTGTTGTTTTTTTTTATAACCCATTTTTGGCTTTGTTGGTTTTCTCTGTTGTTTTTCTATCCTCAATTTTATTTATTACTGTTCTTATTTGATTCCTTCTGTTAGCTTTGTGTTAGGTCTTCTCTTCTTTTTCTGGTTCCATAAGGTGTTTAAATCGACAAAGTGGTTTAAGAGCTTTTCTCTTAGTTTTAATGCAGTATAAATTTACCTCTGGGCACTGATGTCACTACATCTCATAAGTTTTATGGTATTTTGTATGTTTTCATTTTCCTTATAGATTATCTGCCTAGATGTTTTACCCATTATTGAAAGGGAGGTATTGAATTTTCCAACTTTTATTGCAGAGCTATGTATTTCTCTCTATAATACTGTCAATATTTCCTTCACATATATTGGGTCTCTGTTATGAGGTCCATTTATGTTTATAGTTGTTATATCTTCTTGATTAATTGGCCCTTTTATAAATATATGATTCCTTCTGTCTCAAAACTTTTAACAGTTTTTGAAATAGTCTATTTTGCCTGTTATCAATATAGGCACTCCTAGTCTCTTTTGGTTACTGCTCATATGGAGAATCTATTTCAGTCCTCTTATCAATCTATTTATGTCTTTGGATCTAAAGTGAATCTCTTGTAAATAGCATATAGTTGAATCATGCAGTTTTATCCATTCTGATAATATCTACTTTTTGATTGGAAAGTTTAATCTGTTTAGATTTAAAATAATTGCTGACAAGGAAGGACTTACTTCTATTGTTTGGGTATTTAATATTCTGTATATGTTAGAGCTATCATCCTTCACTTCATCCATTTGTACCCTTTTTTGGGGCAAACCCAGGCCCTAGCAGTGAAAGCACTGAGGAGTCCTCCTCCCCCGGGGAGCTCCTGTCTCATGCCTTCTTTAACGTGTAGCTCGTCAGCTGTCTTGACTGGTCATTTTGCTGCCAGTGATTCCCAAGTCAGCCTGAGCACTGGAATCACATGAAGAAATTTTTAGACACATGGATTCTGCAACTTCCCTACAAACTGTAGATCATAGTCTGCAGAGCTGTGTTCCAGGACTGCAGGAATCTAAAGTTGAGACTCTCCCAAGTCATTCTGATAGACTGCTTAACCAAAGTCCTTCTTGGGGACTAGAAAATTTGCAAGTGTACTCACTGGTGTTCTGCATTCACATCTTTCCTTCCATTGCCTATAGAACATTAAAATAAGGATCATTTAGAGAGTCAACACAGTGACTAGTTGAAGTCAAATCACTCTAGCCAATAATATACTTCACTCCCTCCATCCTCTGAAAAATTTATACCAACAATCCAGAAACCTGAAAGAGGGAATAGGGCTAAGCATGTCATATGTAGCTTTTATCCTGTTAATCATTCTGATTTCAAGGTTCATTTGTGTTACTTTTATCTTAAATTCCTGTAAATCAATATTGTTGCTTTAAGAAAGTATTGTGTATATGTGTTAGTCACTTAATCGTGTCCGACTCTTCGTGACCCCAGGGTCTGTACCTGCCAGGCCTCTCTGTCCATGGGATTCTCCAGGCAAGAATACTGGAGTGGATTGCCATTTCCTTCTCCAGGGGGTCTTCCTGACCCAAGGATTGAACCCAGATCTCTTGCATTACAGGCAGATTCTTTACCATCTGAGCTCTAGGGAAGTCCACAAGAAAGTAATGGTTGTAATCAAATTTTGTTTTGTAATCAAAACAAAATACTTTGGGTGCATGTATGTATGTTGATGTGGGGCCCTGAGTTTAACAGATAGCACCAGCAGTTTGAGAAAAAGTGAAATACAGGCACACATAGTTGTTTTAATAAGAAAGTTTGGTTATTTTAATGTGGCCTTGCATGAATAAGGTCTTTAGTTATATTTTTGCTCTTTGGGAATCAGCAGCTCCATTTCCATAGTTGACTTTCCTAGTCTTCAAACCAAACTGTTTCTCTCTCCTACTAAAAGTTTCTAGAGGCAGCTATCAGTCATTTGTTTTGAAGCAGTTGGCAATGAAGTAAAACAGAAACCTAGAGATTGTCTTCAGTACTTTAAAGTTGTGGTTGTTGGGGAGTTAAAGTATTAAATCCAGGCTTTTTAAAATGCTATATATATATATTCCCATTTTTGTTGGTCCAACCAAGAAATAGACATAAGTTGTATTATTCCAAATGGAGTATATGTTACTTTTTTTTTTTGCAATTAGTAGCCGCTTTTCTTCGGCTTCCCTGGTGGCTCAGTGGTAAAGAATCAGCCTGTAATGCAGGAGACACAGGAGACGCGGGTTTGATGCCTGGGTGGGGAAGATCCCCTAGAGGGAAGGCATGGCAACCTGCTCCACTATTCCTGCTTGGAGACTTCCGTGGACAGAGGAGCCTAGTGGGCTACAGTCCATAGGGTCACAAGCCGTCAGACATAACTGGATTGACTGAGCGCGCACACACACACACACACACACACACACAGCCTCTTTTCTAGAGCACACTTCTTTAGCAGAGGAGAACCATGAAAAACTTTTAGAAGGAGGCTTTCATTCTTTTTGTTAGCCACAATATATATTAAACCAGCTTTGACATACAGGAGGTATTTAGGATTGTGTTCATGGCTAATGGGAGTCATAAGTGGGTGAGAAGATACCTGGACATGGGCACTTTCATACTGCTTGCTTCTGTTCATACTCCTTTGGAGATCAGAGTGGAATTATCTATTTGCAATGTTTTAGTATCTTTTTGTGGCTCTGAAAGGCCAGTTGGTGGATTCATGCTTGGCTTACTGCATAAGAATCAACCAGTATAGTTTGGTAAAAGTACAGATTCCCAACTTTTCTGTCCCAACCCCATCCCCCACCCCACCCACCCCCCACCCACCACCCTTTGTTTTTGTTCAGTTGGTCTGGGCTAATGCCTGGAAATTAAAGTTCTCCAGCAGACAGATGTGGGGATTATTGTCCAAAAGGGCTCTGAAGAGGTGTCCGAGTCAAGAACGTTATGAATTGCTGGAACTTCAGTATGGAAGCTACCATCACAAGTTCCATGACGTTTCCCTCCAAATTTACAGGTGTGACTGTGTACGAAACAAAATGTGGGTTGCAGTCTTTGGAGTCATTTCTGTTGCCTTGGCAGTGGTGAGCGGCTTTGGCCTGATGTTGTACATTGGGGTGCCATTTGTGCTCATAGTTGCAAATTCACCATTTCTTATCCTAGGTGAGTAAAACAAAGCGTGAGGCTGCACACTGTGTATGTGGAGGTGTGGGATGGGTAAAGGAAGGGTATTGTGTTAAATTAAGCAAAATAATTATAGGTAGGTGACTCTACAGATCCAAAATGAGGTATCAGGAGAAAAAGAAAATAAAATGGAATTATATGCCTTTAGAGTTGGAAAAATCTGGTACCCCAAATGGAAAAACACAGACCAGGGACGTGAACAGGCATTTAGGCATTTCACTCATATATACACACACACACAGAATCCAAAATACTAATCATTGAAAATGTAAGAAAGAAATATTTGACCTTTCGGTTAATCAAGGGATGCAAGTTAAACCAAAAGTGAGATACTTTGTCTTCTTATTAGATTAATGAATAGTAGCAAGATTGAAGGTTTGGGGAAGGTTGTATGCAAGTGAACTCTCTCATATTCTGATGAGGGAGATTTGTAAATTGGTGCACTTTTAAGATATAACTTTGCAACAAATCAAAAGACTTAAAAATCTAAAATGGAATACGCTTGACCTGCCAACTCCACTTTTGGGAATTTGTCCTAGTTACTGGACAGGTTTACACAAATATGCATGTATATTTGTATAGAGCAAATTCTGGATAGATAATACTTAAAATATTAACAAGGATTATCCTTGACAGCTGGAATTATAGTTGTTTAAAGGTTTTCTTTGTATTTGCCTGTACTTTCAGGATTTATTTTACAATAAGCATAAGAAGGCAAATATGTTTCTATTTTGGGTGGTAAGCAACTTGGAAGAATTAATAATTGGTTTCCTAGGGAAGATAGGGGAGGAACTGTGCACTGGATGTATGCCTTCCTAGCACACACTCACGCTTAAGCACTCAATGTTCACACAGCCATAAACAACTAAAATGTAGACAACTGATTTCATATTGATGTCTTCATATTATCTGTATATACATACATATGTTAGTGTAGGGGTGCATGTGGGGGGGGGCTGTGATTTCAGTAGCTCAAGAAATGTGTGAGGACAGTTTCTGAGCCAAGTTCCATAAATAATAAAACCTGCTTTTAAATACCTGTTCCATATCAATGAGTTTATTTGTGGTCCTTAGTACTTCAGAATCTTGCCCTTCGTCCAGCTGAATGCAAGCAAAATACAAAATGCTGGCTGCAGGGGGCGTGTCAGGATGCAGTTTGTGACATACTACACAAGCCTGTGTCACTGCAGGCCTCTTGTCAGACCATACACACAGAACATCCGAATTAGAGGCAAAGTGCAATTCCCAGTACCTTCCCGTGTAATCCATGGAGAAGATCTTCCAAGGTTGATGTTAAAATCAATCAGCACTCAGTTCCAAGTTTTGATTTTGTATCAATACACATAGAAACAGGTGTACAGGAGTGAAAGCAGTAGGAAGCTTGAGGGAAGTGAAATTTATCTGCAACGTGCTTAGGCTGTCCTTGATGACCTTTCTTCTCTGTGGTCCTCCTCTCCTAACCTTCAGTGATGACTTCAGAGTCCTCAAATGTTCTCCTGGTCTCTTTATTCCAAATCAATCAGGAAACGTCACTGTGGAAGAGACTGGTTACTTTAGTATTCACTTATTATGTAAAGGATTCTTAAGATTTACCTTGGTACATATTTTTGATCTCAAGAGTACCTGCATTTTACTGACATAATGCCTTAACCTGGGCAAGTGCAGTTTGAATGACAGCGTTCTGGGTGTCAGAACCAGACTAACAGAAAACTACATGTGTATGTATATCTGTGTGTGTGTGTGTACAAACTATGGGGTACCTTTAAAATCATACCACATTGATAGCTAGATGCTAACTGGAGAACAGATAAATCTGGCTCATATTTTAAACAACAGGATGCTAACTCAGTATTAGTGCCTTAGAGTAAAATGGTTTATAAGAGAAAATGGTCTCTCAAATGTGATGGAATCAGAGATGCATGGCTAATCCTGCTTCACCTAATAACCAGTCAGCCAGGTTTCCTGAGTCTTCATTGAAACGCCCTGAATGATGACTAGGAGTAGAGTGTATTGTGCTATGTGTACAAAGTGCAGAGCTATTACAGAGCAAGTAGTGATGAGTTGTGTTGTGGATTCAGAGGCAACCAGAGAAGGCGTCAGAGAAAGCAGTATCCAAACAGACTCCGCAAGATCAATGAGACCTTGAGAGACAGGCAAAGAAAATGGTTTGAGTTGATCTGGTTAATTTTTAATGCATGTTAAAAAGTACGAAGACTGTTTCTTTCTCTAACAGGTGTTGGGGTCGATGACATGTTTATCATGATTTCTGCCTGGCAGAAGACCAGCTTCACGGATAGCATAAGTGAGCGGATGTCCGATGTCTATTCAAAAGTGGCAGTATCCATTACGATCACCACCGTCACCAATGTCCTGGCCTTCTATACAGGAATTATGACCTCTTTCAGGTCTGTACAATACTTTTGCATCTATACAGGAACAACCCTGCTCTTTTGTTATTTTTATAGCATCACCTGTTTTGGAGCATGTATGGCCCTGGATGGGAAAAGAGAAGTAGTCTGTCTATGCTGGTTGAAGAAGCCAGAAACACCTGACCAAAAATGTTCCTCATTAAAAAAGTCCTGCTGCCTCCCATGTAATTCTCTCCAAGATAAATATACAGCTGACATCCATCCAATGAATCTATTCTTTAGAGACTGTTTTGGTCCTTTTCTCATAAGCACCAAGTCCAAGATTTTTGTAGTGCTCCTATACGTTTCGTACATCATAAGTAGTGTATATGGGTGTTTCCAAGTGCAGGAAGGTTTAGACCGCCGAACTTTGGCAAGTGACGACTCTTACATCACACCATATTTTAATGTAGAAGAAGACCATTTTTCTACTTATGGTCCCAGCGTCATGGTTATCGTTACTGAGGCTCTTGACTACTGGGATAAAAATGCTAGGCAAAAACTGGAAAAATGTCTGGCAGATTTTGAAAACAGTGAGTATGTAGATAAAAACCTTACAGAGTTTTGGTTACAAGAATATGTAAAATATATGGAAAACCTCCATCAAGATATAAATGATAAGACAGCGTTTCTAAGCAATATTCCCACTTTTTTAATGGATTTTCCACTTTTTGCATATGATATTAATATAACATCATCACAGGAAATCATTTGTTCCCGGGCCTTCTTTCAAACCATGGGTATTTCTTCTTCAACCGATAAGAAGCTGATGTTACTCCAGTTCCGAGACACGGCTGAGAAGTGTGAAGTTCCCCTAATGGTGTACAACCCGGCATTCATATACTTTGATCAGTATTCTGCAATAGTAGAAAACACTGTTCGAAGTGTGGTTGTTGCGTCAGCAGCTATGCTCGTTGTTTCCTTATTGTTAATTCCTCATCCTCTGTGTTCTTTGTGGGTGACTTTTGCTACTACTCCTGTGATTGTGGGCGTCACGGGTTTTATGGCCTTCTGGAATGTCAACCTTGATTCCATATCCATGATTAATCTTGTCATTTGTATAGGGTTTTCTTTTGACTTTTCTGCTCACATTTCCTATGCATTTGTTTCCAGTTCAGAGCCCTCAGTAGACCGAAAAGCCATTGAGGCACTGTATCTGCTAGGCTACCCCGTGTTACAAAGTGCAGTTTCAACAATAATAGGGGTGTGTGTCCTGTCTGCAGCTAACGCATACATCTTCAGGACATTTTTCAAGATTATGTTTCTTGTGATGGTATTTGGAGCTGCTCATGGTCTAATTTTTATCCCAGTATTCTTAACCTTTTTTTGAAAGTTACTTTGAATAGCCACTAACAAACCAAAGACTAATTATAGAATTCCTGATTGGCCCAATCCAAACTGATTAAAATGCACTATTGAGAATAGTCAATAAACTAAAAACAAAAGCTTTTTTTTTGGCTTGTAAATACCGTTTTAAAATGTTATTTAAAATATCCTGAGAAAAATTAATGTCCCACATTAAAATATTTTTACTAATTTAAGAAGTGTTTTCATATTTATTATGGTCTTGTATATGATTGTATAATCAAGAATAACTTTCCAATTATTTGTCCTTTTATTTCATCATTAGTAGTTTATGCCTGGAAGTCAAATATTTTATGTATTATACTCTAAAATGGAATATTATTTTCATTGTACTTCTCATATGCATTATTGGGTAAAAGTGTAACTATTATTTATTCTCCTAGTCTGGGGTTTTTCTATGCATTTTCTTATAGTGTATTTTGACAAACAGAAGTTTTTAAAGTTTTGGAATCAAATTTATCTTTTTTTTTTATGGTTAGTGTTTTCTGAGAAATCTTTGCCTAATCCAAGATCACAAAAAATCATCTATATTTTCTTCTCAAAGCTAATAGTTTTATATTTACATTTTATATTATATTACATATGAATCATAGACCTATGTTTGTTCCCATTATAGTTATCCAACATCTTTAGTGAAAAGACTGTCCTTTCACCAGAGGGTCTGACTTGGCACCTCTGTCAGAGAACCAAGTGACAATTTATGTGTGGCTCTATTTTTGTGCATCGATTTGTTTTTCTGTAATAAAGTGGATACCACACTGTATCAATTACTGAAGCTTTATATTAATTATGGAAATTAGGTTCGGTAAGTTATCCAGCATTTTCCCTCTTTTCCAAATTACTTTGGCTGTTATAGGTTCTTTGCATTTAGATACTAATTTTAGAATCACTTGTCCTTTTATCAAAAAAAGGTTTCTGGGATCATACTTGGGTCATGGTGAGTCTACAGATCAATTTGGAGAAAATAGATATATTAGCAATATGAAATCTTCCAATCTGTGAACATGGTTTGTGTCTTACTTATTATCTTATTTCATGTCTTTCAGAAGTATCTTATAGATATACATGGATTTATTTTCCAAGTATATTAATTTTTTAACACTGTAAATGTTTTAAATCCCTTTTTCATTTTTTTTCACTAGTACATAAAAATACAATTGGTTTCAGTATACTTGCCTTATTATGTGTAATCTTTTTAGGTTCATTTATTCTTGTAGATTTTTTTAGTTTTTTTAGTAGTTTTTAATCTAAGCAATTATGTCAAGATCACATAAAGACCATTTTATTTCTCCCTACATAAATTTTATCTCTTATTTACCTTATTGCACAGGCTTAAAACCAGGAAAATATAGGAAAACATAGTGACATCATTGCCTTGCTGTCAGCTTTGTGAGGAACGGAATCAATATTTCATCAAATATAATGATTACCTGGAAGGTTTTCATAGCCATCTTCTGTCAGGTTGTGGAAGCCCCTTTCTACTTCTAGTTTTCTGGCATGTTTTAACATGAATGGGTATTAAATTTTGTCAAGATTCTGTCAACTGAGATTATCATGTCTATTTTTCTATTTTAGTCTGTGGAATGTGACAACTTACACTGAATGATTTTTTTAAATCAAATCAACTTACATGGAATCATTTTATACTAACCTTGCATTCCTAGAATAATTCACATTAGGTCAAAGCATGTTATTATTTCACATATTGCTGTTTTCATTAATATTTTGTTAGTGATATTCATTCCTATGTTCATGAGGCATATTGGTCTACAATTCCCTTTTTTGTAATGCCTTTCTCAGGTCATGGTATCAGGACACAAGCCAATAAATATTCTTCCTCTTCTGTTCTCTGAAATATATAATGTATGGTTGATATCATTTTTTCATTTCTTATCAAATGTTTGGTAGAATTCACTAGTGATGTCTTTGGGCGTGGAGTTTTTCTGAGAAGGATTTTTATTTCAAATTCACTTTCTTTAACAAATAGAAGGATTAAGATTTTTTTTTCTTCCTGGGTCAATTTTGGTATGTCTGTTTTCTGTGGAATTTGCCATTTTTCCAATTGGCTATAAATTTCCTTCTAGTTACTATTTTAACTCTATCCACAAAATTTTTTTTTATGAGAGATGTTTATTATCATCCATTCTAAAATAAGCTATTTCCCTTGTGATTTCTTCTTTGACCATGAATTAAACAATATCTTTCTTTTCTCTTCATTTTTGAAGAATTGTTTAAACAGATATAGAATTCTAAGTTGAGAAGACTTTTTTTACTTTCAACACTTTAAATATGTCATTGCATTGTCTTCTTGATGCAATGCTGATGAATTGAGTCTTCACTTTCATATTGATCTTCTCTATGGAATGTACCTTTTTTCCCTCCATATTCACTTAATATTTTTTATTACTGATTTTCAGCAATTTGACTGTGATGAGATTATATGTGTTTTTTTTTCTATTCAATCTTCTTAGATATCTTTAAGCACTTAGGACCTGTGACTTGATATTTTCCATCATATTTGGAAATATTTTAGCCTTTATTTCTTCAAATGTTTTTCTGCCACATTGTCTCTCCCCTTTCCTTCAGTGACTTTAATTATAAATATGTTCTCATTATTTTCAGTTGTCATAAAATGGTAATAGTCCCCAAGATTGTATTTTATCATTAATAAATTGAAATTTATTGACACTTTCAAAAATCTCTTCTCTGTAGCCCATATTTTGTTGAAAAAATTAACTCTTTCTACATATGTTGAGATTCCTGGTAAGCTCAGGAAAATTCTCAGTGAAGGTACATAATTACGCTTTTATGTATGGAAATGTCTAAATATTTTAGTCCAAATATTTTCATCGTATCATTTTTATTTCATTAAGACTCATTCTTAGACAAATATAACACAAAACTCCTCAACAGTATTGTCTCCATTTCTAATTATCCTGAATATTTTGCCAAACAAAACAGAGATGTCACAAAATAATAGGGCTTTTCAATTTCATTCTATTCATTACAAAATGTAAATATACCCCCAAATGGAAGCTCATTCAAAAATTCTTCTCACAAGTTATGAAATTACAAACCACAGATATGAAAGTTCAGTCAGGTACACTGCACTCCTCTTATTTGATTTTGTCATTTTGTCCCTCACTTTTGCCGTGACAAATTCAGTTACTTCCTGTTTATATACCATGTTTTCAGGAATTCCATTTTGCTAAAGTCTTCAAAACTTTGTGTTTCTATGGTGTTCCCTTCACTGAACATTTTGATTATTCACACTGATTTTGAACAAATTGCAACAAAAAAGAGTAGAGGACTCTATTCAGAAACTAGTCACAGTTTTACAAACTAGATCAATAACTTTGCAGGGCAATAGCTTGATTTTCAAAGCAGTTCCATGATGAATCAAGCATTTGTAAACTCTGATACTAGGCAACTAAGAGAAACAACTATGTACTATCATACCTGAATATTTTTAATTCAACCTCAACTTAATTGCCAAATATTTGTTGTTCAGTCACTTTAGGTGTTTTATTAGCTCATCTCCTCCTCCTTCATGTATTCCTCCAGGTGTAATCTTGGGTTATCCATTCACATTTACAGATAAAGCCTATTTTGCTTAATTTGATAAATTTCCTACACAATTGTGAATTCTGTCTCCAACAGCCAAAATTGGTTCCTACTGTCATCCTGGTATACCACCTATTTTAAGTTTGTACTGGATGCCTTATTTTAAATGAAGTCTTATTATTAAGAGATGAATTAAAATGAGCCTGGATTGGTTTTATATACCTCTGCTTTTTATGTTCAGATTTTTCCACGGTCCAGCCTAGTGATGTAGATGACACAATGTGCACTGAATAGAATTTTCACTTTAATGTGTAGTTAATTAGGAAAGTCACCTACTGATAAACCACCCCCCTTCCCAATCCTTTATGAACATTTTGTAACTAACATTTCCTGTTCATTGACAGTGGGCAGAGTGCTCACTGAATACAATGAAGTGTGCTCAGACACAAGTGCTCAGGGAACGTTAGCTCCTCTCTGGATTCTGAATTACTGAAGCTATACTGGCCACTTCAGTAAATAAACCCAACCTTGTAGTGGCTCACCACAGTGAGAGTCTAATTCTCACTTGTGTAACAGTCACTGTTGATGTTCCTGGTCAGTGAGTGGCTATCTTGACCTCTGTAAATCGGGGACCCAGGTTCCTGCCAACTTCTGGTGTCTCAATCCAAATGGCCTCTTCTGTTGCCTGTGTCCAGATGGCAGACGGGACAGAGAACTTCTTAAGGTCTTGGCCTACAGGTGACACACATCACCCCCACATACATTTTGTAGTGACTACTGGTCACATGGCCACACATGTAAGTCAAAGGAATTAGAAAATGCAGTCCTTGATTGGGCAGCCATATTTCAATTAAATTCCATATTATGTAAAGGGGGCACAATTTTTGTTTGAAGCAAGCATTCAATATTATTGATTCTTAACCTCTTTACATTACTTTAAAATAAGTTTCCAGATGGATCAATATTTAAGTGTAAAAAGGTAGATAATTATAATCTCAGAAAGAAAAAGATCTGTCTACTGTGACACAAAGCCCTGAATTCTTTAGGGAAAAAAAAAAAAGCATTAGTTGATTCAATCACAAACTTAAGCCATAGCAACTAGAAAAAAGAGGTTAGACAAGGGAGCCCTCAACACACAGGAAAAAGTCAAGAAGAAAATTGTAACTGCCCAGAAAAGGAAACCAGTGAAAGATGTAGGATTGTAGTTTCTACATACCAAAGAGACATATGGTTAGTCTAAGCAACAAGTTAAAATAATTAAATCATAATAAGATACCAGTGGCATGAATCACTTTAAAGGCCTTCTGAGATAGGCTGTGGCAAAACAGAACACCATACACTATTTTTGAGGGTGTAAATTGATACAACTTCTATAGATTTTAATTTTCAATAGTTCTAAAA